ATCTCTCTAATAGCTTTCCAATCTTCTTACCTTCTGCATTTTGAATGAGTTCCTCTAGCCTGTCCACTAAGTCTCATTGTATTATCAGCTGTTTTATTCTTATTTTTCATATCTAACGTGGCTTTCCTCTCCACATTTATACCTTTCCCTCCATTTCTTTTTAGATAACTATGAGCATACTTTTCATGGGTTTATAATCTCTAATTTGAATTCTTATAAACCGAAGAAGAGCTCTTGTCCTAGCCAGTTTGGCTCATTTGGATAGAGCATTAGCCTGTGGACTGAAGGGTCCCAGATTCGATTCTGGTCAAGGACACATGCCTGGGTTGTGGGCTCGCTCCCCAGTTGGGGACATGCAGGAGGCAGTCAATCAACGATTCATTCCCTCTCTCTCTCTCTCTCTCTCTCTCTCTCTCTCTCTCTCTCTCTCACACACACACACACACACACACACACACACACACACCAATAAAAATATTTAGAAAAAACAACTACAAAGCAGAGCTCCCCCCTGCCATTATTTTTTTTAAAAGAGACTGATAACATTATCAATCATCTCTTGGAAGCTATGCAAAATTGTTTTAACGCTTTCCTTGTTTTTGGAGAGTAATTCTTTTTGCGATTCATTTTCTTCATCTATGTTTGTTAAATTCTTTACATATCTATGATCAAGTCCCATGTTAACTCTTGTCCTAATACTAATTTTCTTTAAACAGCGTCATGTATTTGTTGCATAATGAAAAGGATCCACAGAGGAGAGACCTGGGGTATGCTGCGCCTTCAGCTTTAGTTTTCTTGAACATCCATTCACCAAGTTTGTGACTTTTCTTGATTTTGAGTGTGTGTTCCCTTGGTTATGTGTAGCAGGTTGCTATGACTCACAGAAAAGCCCTGTGTTAACCTATTGAACTGCACCCCCGCCCCAAACTAGCTGGCTCACAGGAAACGAGGCGAGCATGTCACCCTCAGCTTCACCCCCCACCCCCACCCCACCCCGTTTGCTTCATGATCTGGATCTTGACTGTCTTGAATGGGGTCTTTACAGTGGCTTCCTCACCTCTCCAGTGGCCTGCCCACATCCTCAGATCTCGTTTCTCTAATAAAAGACACCTGGCTACAGCTTTCTGAACTGAGAGACTCAGTTTTAGTGAAACCTGTTTCTTCAAGGTCTGAGGAGGTGTCTGCTCTCAAATTCCCTCTTGTTTTCATCTATATTTCACAGAGTCTGGAAGATTAACTAGACTCCTTTAGTTGCAATATTCCAAGTGACAAAAACCTCATCTATTACACCACAAGCTGTACCTGTCAAAATAAATAAAGGAAAGAAGAAAGAAAGGCAAAAAGGAAAGGAAGGA